GTGCAACGTCGATGGGCACCCACGTGCATTTGCACGCACACAGTACACGTGTGCGCGAGAGACTCGCAAGTTCATAGTTTCGGTTGTAGCGTGTAATCCTCGTGGACACCGCAAACATGTAATTAACACTTGCTCTCTCTCTACGAGCCGCTGCAGTCAGTCGAGATCGTGTTGACTATACCCAGCCTCGACCGTACCGGCCGTGTAATCGTGTGCGCATGCCGACCAATGTAACGAATAAGACCCGCTCTCCGCTATACGGGGTGTCCCGACACCAACCGTAAATATTTTGTCATCGAATTTCGCTGGTGATCCCTGAAATTGAGATTTTGCTCGTTTCAAATCGGGTTTCTTGGTTTTTGCTATTTTTCAATTATCGAAGAGAGGAGACGAGTTACTGGAAAGTTTGCTAGTGCAAGAAATGCAGGTTGTTTTTTGGTTTAGTGGACCACAAATATACAAGCAGCAAAAAATTGCTATACCTTGTGTAATACGATCTCGATCCTTTCACGCTTGGAAATATGATACGCATAAGTCTGCGCTATTAAACTTTGAGTTTCATGGAAGTTTTTCTTAAGGAATGACCTAGTTTGTAACACAAGTATGATGCATATTGGTGTTTCTTTTTTTGTTTTTCTTTTTTAAGCTGCACTAATTCGAGTTTAGCGTGCCAAACAGAAACTTGTATAATTACGAAGCTACAAATTAACAAAGGCGAATGGTTTTTCGACCTGTTTCGGTGCTTGAAGCAGAAGTTCTTTGGTATTGAGTGAGAAAGCTATTGAAGCGAAATAAGTATCTGAAACTATACTTTTCTTCTTTTTGGGAAGAATTGAAATTATCGTGAATTTTTTAGACGGTACTGTGTACATATTATTTTTATTTCTTTTTTTTTTATTCTTGAACTACGTACGAGTACATGTTACATATATGACAAGCATACGAAGTATATGATAAGTTATGATAGTTTAAAGAACTTCGATCTTCCAGTAGGGGAATTCCAATAGAAAAATCTGAAACATATTTTTGTTAAATTACGATATTCACGTTATATGTACACTCGGATCAATTCTGAATTTCCATCGAGAAATATCCGCTGAAACGCTTCTGGAAGCGATCCTGAGCGCGAAAAATATGATGAAAGTTTCGAACTAGATTTTCGGCGATATTGTTGACACGAATGTCGGCTCTGCGGTAACTCGAACGTGATTTCGAACGTTATTGGGGATACGGAGGAACGTTTGAGATAATATGAAAGGAGAAATGTGTGTTATGCGCGAAGAATATGTAGAGTCGTTCGATCGATCGAGGTTGAATAGATGGTTCGGGGCGAGCGAGTTTCATGCATCGATGGAGACTGCAAATCATAGGTTTTAAGTTTCCTAGCGATGGTCCGTGTATGCATAGTACATCAATTTTTTGAAAGTTTCTTCGAGAAATTTGCGGTGAAACTCGTTTTCCATAGGTAGTTGTTTAGAAGATAGATTAAATTAAATGGTCGTGTAATTTCGTTGCTTAGCACTGTATACAACCACGAGAATCTTCCTCTGTCTGGAATTTCGACAGCGATACATCATTTTCTTGATTTTATATTCATTTGGATTAGCCATTGTTGTTATACAATATATATGATAGTTAACGATACAAATATGATTATTACAGAATTTGACAATTAGCTGTGGCGATTAGATACTCGAGATGCTAATGACAATAATCTCAGGTTCAATAACGAATACACGGTGAACGGTCAACGATAGCAGATACGCTTACTTCTCAAAAGTCCAAGTGGAACTGAACATACTTGTCCACAGTCCAAGTGTAACTCAACTTACTTGTCCACAGTCCAAATGGAACTGAACTTACTTGTCCACAGTCCAAGTGTAACTCAACTTACTTATCCGCAGTCCAAGTGTAACTCAACTTACTTATCCACAGTACAAGTGGAACTCACTCATGTATCTTTCTCTGTATCTCTTTGTACCCCTCGGGTCAACTATATTTTGAAGGAGAGCAATACAACTACTTACTTAACCTCTGTTAGGTAAAAAGGTCTATCCCATGGCTGTGGCTACGTTTAGCGACCAGATATCACTTCGAGTCCAAGCCTGCTGTCATAAATCTCGGGCAAACATACTCGGATTAAATCATAAACAACTACTTCTAAGTTTTATTATTTAAGTACAGCTATAATAAAAAGTCTAGATTAAAGTATTGGGGATTTTCGCAAAAATTCTAAAGGAAAGGCCCCGATGTTCTTTCATCTCCGACATATACATGCGCGTTCTTTTAAGAAATATCGCTACTAAATACTGTGATGTTGTATATTTTATCAAATTATCGAACGTACGGATTTCCAATTTTATCATTGCTATCTTTAACGCGTACAGGATCGAGTTCTTCCACCAGACTATGGAAAAAATTATTTTACAAATCACGAACGACAGAAGCACGTTCCTTTCGGTATTTCTGTAAAAGAGATACAATGCAATAAAATCTAAGATCAGTCTCGAAACGTACGTTTATAAATCGATATCAATCAAATACAAATATACGAATCAAAATCAATATGAAACAGGTGGATTTCGATTCTTTCAAACATAACGCAGGAAAGTCTAAAACCAGTTTTAAAAAGTACATTCGTATCGTTTAGTCGCTTGTCAGAGATACATTGATTTCAAATACGTTAATTTCAATTCTTTCTGTCATAAACATAATCTCTGCTCTCGATTGAAATAAAAATGGTTAACGTGTGAAAATCGGAGCCGAAATGGTTCGCCACTTTTCCCTTCCTTGTCAATGGGACACGGTATACACAGCGAAGCCGAAGGCAATGCGAATCATTGGTCTTTCGAAATAACAGAATTTCCTCGAGCGAGGAGAATTGTTTGGGATCGCGGAGTCTCCGGAGGCCGGACGAGATTCACCTGTCAAGCAAATCTTGTTATCACGTTGCGTTACGTTACATCGTGGGCTCACCCACGCGTGCACGATTGCCAATGGCGTTTAGGTGTCTTTCACTGTTTACCGTATGCCACATGGTCCGTACGTCTACCATCGTCTGGTCTGGTCTCGTCTCGTCTCGTCTCGTCTCTTCGCTACGCCTGTCTGATTCCCCCTTTTCTTCGCTGGCTCGCGAATCGGCTAACGCATTATTTCCTGCATCCATTCTCGCTCCTTCGCGATGAACAGCTGTGTGAAATTAATTATTCACCGGCGGCATTCACGCGTATTCACATCGCGCGCTTCGCTGCGCTTCCGTCGCCTTTGCTATTCCTTTTTCAAATTGAAGATCGCAGGTGACAGACACGATAAGTCACATTTACGATCTTTCATGGGAGAACAGTTTTTAAATTCGATATATTGGCGTCTATTTTTGTATCAATTAATTCGTTTGATTATGGGCTCGAGTATGTGTTTTGTTATACGCTCGAGAAATATCAACAGCATCGGTTACGTGCACCGATATTAATTGATTTGAATTAGTATTAATTAATTAAGATTTGTATCTTTTATTCTCCTTTCAACAGTTTCACGCGAAAACATTTTTTTTATCCGCTGGGTTCTACATAAAAGACGATCGATATGAAAAGACATATTTTTCTCGTGTAGTCTTTTGTTTTTGTCTTTCTCTTTAGTTTCTTTCATTCTTCTCTTTTCTTTATCAGTTTGAAACGAAGCGAATTCTTTGTTTGAGATAAGATACGGAGAAAGTTGGATAATTCTTCGAAAAGACTTGATGAATGTTAATGGGATTTAACGAGGATTTGTCTCGTGTGGTTTTGAAGACAGAAGCGTCATTCTTTGAAAGTGATCCTAACATCGAGTCAATGGATTTTAACTTGTCTTGAAATCTTCAAAGCTTTAATAACGTGAATAATTCAAACAGAATAACGTGGTATAATTTCGGTTAAATACGTTTACATATGAACGTATAAAAATATATATTTATATATATATATTTGTTAGAAAATATATAAAACATGAAACATAATATTCTACAAAACTTCCTACTTAAGATTTTATTTCTTAAATCCTGTTCGTAAAATAATACCAGTGTAATTATACGAATATCATTTATGTTAACCATAACAAACATTCTTAAACGTAAGAAAATTCCGTTCTTCTTCATCATATTTTATTTTGCAACAGGTAAGTGAAATGACTGGCCATTACCAACGATAATAAAACGTGTATGGAATAGCGAAAACGGATGTTAGCAGTTTTATTTCCCATCGGTATAAAAACTACGTAGCAACTAAGAAGATAATAATATGCAATATTCCGTCGGCTAGTTTTCGCATAACATGCGCAACGATTAATACAGCAAAGTTTAGACTGTAAAGTTTGCTCGTGTTTTACGTGCTGTTGCGTTATAATGTGATACCACACACGTTGTATAGTTAGATATTCCAACCGTTATACTCTGTTACTTTCGCGAACTAAGCTGTAGATTATTACTGTGAAATCCGATAGATGATTTTTGCTGTTTAATTTATGTAACAGCATTCGAAGCAATATGTTATTTCGCTGAAATTAGCTTCAACTTTGTTACGTAATTTTGCGAACCATTTAGATATATAATTTATAATCGTTTTACAAATTTCTAGAAATTTAGAAATAAGATCAAATTCTACGTATAAATATTATTAAGTAATTTTTATTATTATTCATCTTATATTATATATTTTATTATTGCTTATTAAGTAATACTGTGCGTTGAGAAAAATCATTGAGAGGTTATTCGCGAGGAAAAATGAAAAGTTATGTGACAATTAAATTATCTTATAACAAAAAAAGAAAAATGTTAAACGTAAGCTTTACTTATCTTGCTAAACAAATGAACGTATTTTGACGTAAAATGTTAATTCTTACTGCTCTAGAATACTCGACGAACATCCTGGCAGACGCATGTTTAAGAAATCGAAGACGATAAAGAAACAGCAAGATCGTTAATTTAACTGCTCGACTATTAATTCGTTTCTCTTGTGAATTTATTGCAGGGCCCGCCACAGCCCGGACAACAAATTAAATTCACAGTCGGAGAATCCTGCGATAGGATCAAAGAGGAATTCAACTTCCTGCAGAACCAATGCCACGCGTAAGTGACGGATATCTTGTACCATAATAATCTACGCATAATTTCCTCTCACACTTCTTAACACCTTGTCATCGTTTCATTACACAAAAACAACAAATACACCGATCCAACTTTTCGCTGATTTATGTTTTACACGCGCGTAGCGTTCTAAATAGAAAATCTAAAGAGAGATCTAAAGGTATTTGAAATACCTAGAAACAATCGAAATCTCGTTGTGGAACACAAGTAAAATTAAAATACCAAAAGTCGTGGTGAGGTAAGGAACGAATTAATTCCTTTGGAACAGCGACGTTAAACTATCCGCGATAAGGGCGAAACTTAATTACAACGCAGCGTAAGTAGAACATAAGAACAATCATCCGGAGAGATTCGACTCGAGGTCTTTGCACCCTTTGCAAGTCACCTTATTACAGTTTCTTTTCTTTTTTCTTCTACGGTTCCAAGGGAATTAATATTAAAAAAGACGAACGGGCCAGAGCTAATCCGAAAAAAGGTCTTCCGGCTCGAATAAGTTTATTAAATCGTGTAACGAAAAGGGGAAAAAAAGAGAAAAGAAGAAGAAAGTAAGAGAAGGGAAAGAAGGAAAGAGGAGTAAAAAAAAGGGGGGGACAAGAGTCGTAAAACGATTGAAGTCGAGCGGCACCTGCTCATCAGCCCTTTCAGACTCTCTCTCTCTCTCTCTCTCTCTCTCTCTCTCTCTCTCTCTCTCTCTCTCTCTCTCTCTCTCTCTCTCTCTCTCTCTCTCTCTCTCTCTCTCTCTCTCTCTCTCTCTCTCTCTCTCTCTCTCTCTCTCTCTCTCTCTCTCTCTCTCTCTCTCTCTCTCTCTCTCTCTCTCTCTCTCTCTCTCTCTCTCTCTCTCTCTCTCTCTCTCTCTCTCTCTCTCTCTCTCTCTCTCTCTCTCTCTCTCTCTCTCTCTCTCTCTCTCTCTCTCTCTCTCTCTCTCTCTCTCTCTCTCTCTCTCTCTCTCTCTCTCTCTCTCTCTCTCTCTCTCTCTCTCTCTCTCTCTCTCTCTCTCTCTCTCTCTCTCTCTCTCTCTCTCTCTCTCTCTCTCTCTCTCTCTCTCTCTCTCTCTCTCTCTCTCTCTCTCACTTCAAGTTCTCCTTTTGTCTCGAAGTTGCATACGTAGCCGGCAGCTACCGGGCACCACCATCGCGGATCGAGAAAGAGCCTGGGAATTCGTGCAGCTGCTTCCTTGGCTTTGCACGCGATACACAAAAGCCATAAGTGATTTACGACAACGTGGCTATTGGCAGACACGTAATGACACCCGTGCACCGTAGCCACCGCGAATACGAAATTAAGGAAGCCTCGATCTCGCTGCTGTTGCATTTTTCAGCGTTTCGCCGATCGAAACTTTCATTGTTCGTACAAGCTGCAACTTCCCAGCCGGAAGTTTCAAGCTCTTTTCCATTTTTCTCTCTTTCTTTCTGCCTTTTCTTCCGTCTCTTTTTCTTGTCGTTTCGCCTTTTTTCTTTTTTTCTACCCCTTTGAAGTTGGCAAACGTACACGGCATTGTTCCCAGTCGATGACGGCGAGGTATAAGAGAATGCAGAAGAACGATAGGAACAATATTTCAAACGTTGCGCTCCAACTTCTCGCAGCGTGCACACGCCAGAATGTACGTGCTGTCTATTATGGGCAGTAAGTGGTGCAACGAAGGACAGAGTGGTTTTGTATTAAAAAATGGATAGAAACTATCGAACGAAGATCTTTTTTTATAGGAAACTTCGTTTTCACGAAGACTTCAAGTTGTGAATCTGTATTAACGAACGAATGAAATTCATAGGAAACTGCGTTTTCGAAAAAGTTGAACTAATAGCGAATTTGCACTAGCAAACGGATGAAATCTTTTAATAGGAAGCCTCGTGGAATGTGTATTAAAAATTTGTCTAATTTAAATGAAATTTAATTGAAATTAATCGAATTAAACTAAATTATAATGAATCAATTAAAATTAATTTAAATCGAAAGTTGTTTCGTTCTCAAAAAGATCGAAACTGAAAATTCCTCGGTGGTGCGTTCTACGTTTAAGTTCCGATTTAGGTATTCATCGGGCAGAGTTTTTAATAGACGAAAACATCTACCGACATTTTCACTCGTCAATGTTGCAAGTGCAATCGTTTTGATGTATGATTAATGAAGATACGTCTATTGGGAGCTTTATACGCCAGTAATTAGATGCACGTGCACTCAAAGAACTTTCAAACTCAATTTTCTTGAGAACGAGGCCTTGTGTCGCATTATCTTACTCTACATTTTTTATTCTTTTTTGCATGTACAATCATTTATTATTCTTCCTTCTTCTACCACTTACGAGACACGGTAGTTTAATAGAAAGGGAGTGTTTGATGGGGGAAACAGGTTAGGGAATATAGCATAAATGGCCATCGCGTGTGCACGCAATTACGTATGCATAATCGACGACAATTAATATTAACATTATGCTAACGCGGCGAGCATAAAGTAGAAAGATCGTGGGACGTTACTCGGATTACACAGTGCGTAATGTAGGCATGTGTGACACACATGGCCACGTGTTATCTGTAAAATTATGCTACTTAGTGAATAACACGGGCAACGATATTTTAGACCATTTAAAATATCGTATAGCGGATGTTTGCATGTTGGTTGCCAAAAGTTTTCGTAAAGTGCGATTTTCTTATACCGTGTAAAGAGATAAATTCCAAAATTTCAATATAGAGATTCGCTGTGCAAGTATATCGTGTAGTTAGTTCAATTTTCAAAGCAGAGAAAATTTATTGATCTGCGATCTAAAATAAGTTGTTTTTAAAAAGACATATTTATATTATACCATTGCCAACAATTTTTGGCTAACATACACAGTGGTGTGTAGAAGCTTCTGGCCAAACAGATTTTTCAATTTATATTCTATCTTACAAATTTGTAACAAACGTTGTACGACTGTAGTAAACCTGTGTTTATTTGTTGTACTGTTTTCTTTTACTTGCCTTGCCTTTAAACTCGATATTTAAGTTAAAGTTCTTTAGATCTGGCTAAAATGTTACATTACATATATACAATCAATAAAACGAAAATAAATATACTATTTAGAACTGTATCTGGCTAAAAACAGTGTCTTACTTGCGTATTTATCGTACGAATAACGTGATTCATATTTTCACCATTCATATTCAAATTGATTTTTCTCTGCGATACCTAAATTCCGAAACATAAAATTCAGCATTAAATCTGCTGTTCTTTACGCAACTGGACGTATCTTTTTCTCTCTCCTCAGAATGTTTCATTGTAATACTAAAATCGAATATTTAAAAGCCATTTATTTTTGGATAATATCAATCAAAATGAAATATTCATTTCGAGTCACATAAATCTAAGGAAAGCAATAAAATTAAGGTTACACCGTCGCTTGACCGCCACTTAATATATTACACACACACACACAATACACAAAAGTTAAGAGAAACATAAGATGGGATTAAAATCATTTAATCTGTACCAATTCCCCTTTCTCTCTGTTCACAGCTTGAAGCTCGAGTGCGAGAAATTGGCCACGGAGAAGATCGAGATTCAGCGACATTACGTGATGGTAAGGAATTACCATTCTGTAACACTAATTCCGGTTAAGTCCGTGCTCTCCTTTCTCCCTCTGTCCCCTAAAGTTTCCTTCTGATCCCTTCTCGCTTGGTCCTTCTGCCTCTATCTCTACCCCGTTCTCCGTATCCAGGATAATCATGCTTGCTCGACCGCTAAACCACCTCGGCTTCTTAGCATTAATTGCATCCTCGCCGCACCGACTTTACATTGGCCTGTTACGCCGCGCACATTTCCCCTCTGTTCAGGTATACAGTGTACAGGTACACACAGAGCCTCGCAAGGGACACTTACACACAAACGAACCACGTGTGCTGGCCCGTGTATCTGTATATTTATCTTGCGCACCTACTGTGCATAGCTAATGATTCTAAGAGGGCCAGAGGTTCTCACTGATTGGAAGACCAGTGGTTGGGAAAATCCAGTGTACGAGCGTATCGCATGCGAGCTTCTTATTTGACAAATAGCTTTACTTCAGCAAAATATAAAGGCACAGAGGATGGAGAGAATTACACGGGATTAGCATCAAAGTGCTTTGGCATTAAAATTGGAAAAGTTTGAAAATCTGGAGTTATTCATCTTGGCTTGTGAACTGCCCCCTGTGTGTTTCAAAGCTTTTACAACCGAAAATAATTCGGTTATGCTGTGCAAAAAAAAAAACACGAAAACTGTCAAACGGGTATTTTCAAGGGTTAAAAACGAAAAACTGCGAAAATAATATTTGACCAAATAATGTTATGCGTTTGGTATATATATAAATTTTTTGTAAGCTTTCAAATGGTTTTTTGCGTTTTCTGAAAAATTTGTTTGAGTTGCCACGCTTTTGAAATACATGTTCGATATAGCAATGGGATCTGTCACTTGGAATTTCTATGCAGCGCGTTATAAAATATATGGGGGATATTTATAGGGCCGATTCTAAATATCAAAAAGATGAAAAGCGCTGTTTCAAGCTTACCGTTCCAGTTATAAACAATTCTATTTTACGTTAGAAATATATTGGTATCAATGAGTCAGTTGATAAAGCTTTTTCTCTGTATCTCACTTAGATTTCAGGTTTCTCATTTTTCATCGACATCGGTACATTTCCAGCGCGAAATGAAATCGTTTGTAACTGTCTTCATTGTTTTTATGTTGAGAATTAACCCTCTCCCTTTCTATAAATTTTAACCTTTGAATTATATTCCAGGTGATTTAGAAGTTAGAATTCTCGAAAGCTCTCACTGAATCCTGGAAATCCTACGTGTCTCGAGAGATACTTTCAAGTGTCTCAAGTGTGAAATTTTGATCATCATAAGATCTTCACATTATTATTTAGACTATCCGATATTATACGTTCGTTTTCAATATCAAAGTATTCAATCGATACGCCATAAGGTACCAGCAGTTAATGAGATGAGAAATTAAAGGAGAAATAGAATTCAAGATCTCGAAGCATTCAAAATTTAGAAAACTGCAAATCTGAAAGATTGAAAACTCGTCGAGGCTTTCGAGGTTGCAAAGTTTCGGATCGTGTTCGAAACGATTTGCATCTTCATAGTCTCGAAAAGCTTCGAATTATGTACTTGCGAGTTGAGATTCGAACACCCGTTACTACGAACGACCCGTCTTGGGACACCTAATGACAAAGTAATACAAGCTGGATGGAGGCGCGCGAGCAATGCCGAAGGATAATGTAGTTGGCCTGGTTGGCTTGTACCCGAATGCTTTCCAACGATCGACCGCCGTAAACCAGTCTAATTATACCGATCCGCGTGTCCCGCGAGGAAATCCGAGCCGCACTCGCTCGCCGCACGCAAGATGGGATTTATTGCCAGGCGTTTTCATGGTAAATGCCTCGCAGTTAACCCTCGCGAAATTGGACTGCGTGCGTGCACGAGTGCCAGGAAGAGGGAAAGGGTCCACCGAGTGACGTGTGGTTGGAGTTTATTGTGGTCCCGGTGACACAATTAATCGACGCTGATATCGCGACTATCGTTTATTCAGGGCGTTGTAAAATAGGACGTTTGACATTTTTCCAGTGTTAATTTCACGTGTTTCGTTTCTTGCATGGGATAGAGCGGTTGAAATTTCTAGAAATCGAATGTCACGCGTTGAGAAACGGTTTCATGGATTCTGATTACTGTGTGTGGGTATCACGTATTCGAGCAAGTTTCTTCTTTGATCTTTCGTTTTTCACATGTCGTAACACAGATACACTTCGGTTTGTTATTTGGCCAGTGAAAAGATATACAAATTTTGAGTGATAGAAATTTTCTATACGATATAGGTACTTCGTATCAAGAATATCGCGATTAATAAGAGGAAGATAATTCGTTGCTCTGTTATTGTAAATTCATTTACGATGTTGAAACGTAATAGAACGGAGCATTGTTTCTATCCGTAGCAGTTCTTACGTATCTAGAACGTATACTTGAAATTGTATCTCTTCTGCAGCAAGTGTGCGATATTATTATAAATGAACATAAGTGAATGAGATTTCTTACGAACAAAAGCAATTACTACTTCATTGATAACCCTATTAAAAGGAAACGGCGATAATGTCTGAAACGTAAAAACACTATTGCTATCCTTGTATTTGTCATAACCTAATAATAAAATGATAAATTAAACGCAAAAGATAACAGAAACAAACAGCAAGGAAAATAACGTTCTTACAATTTAATCATCGTGATTGCGTCTCATACTTCTCTGTCCTACATAACGCGCATAGTTACAGATAGAGAACTATAAGGACATAATATGGCGCCTTGTTCAAGGCCCGTATATCGGTTTGATATACTAATTTATTGTTGTCCCTTGCTACCCTGACGTGGCATTTCGCCTTAGGTTCTGTTTTTCCTCGAACACTCGGATACGAGGGAGTGTCTCTCCCTCGGTCCCTTTCTTGCTGTTCTTGCACAGGGCGTTGTACAGACTTAATTGGCGCGGAGGCGACTAGTTTAAACACGATTAATCAAGCGTACGAGCCAACACGGCTGCCGCCGGAGGAAGTCGCCGTGAAGAGAGAGAGAGAGAAACTCCATGGAGATTTATCGACACGAGCCACGTTGTTCCTCGCGAGGCTTTCTAAGACACGTTCTGTCTCATAATTTCTGTTACCGTGGAATGTAGATTTTGTTGCCCCCGGGACGTTATTATTGCTTGTAACATGCACTAAACGCATTGTTTCCCGCTAACGAATACCAACTTCTATGAACGTCCTCGTAAATATTGCCAAGCGTGCTGGCCTTTCGTTGTATCTCTGTTACGTATTTTAATAGGCTGGGATTTTCCATTTTGTCGCGTGTTTTGTCTTATTTACAACAGGGCGAAATATCAGGGATGAATCATCGTCGTTGGAATCTCGTCCTTTACGTTTGGTCGAACGTTTTCTCAGATTGTTTCTGTTACAAGCGCGTTATCGATGAAAAGTTTGGGATCAGTTCTCGGTCGGATCGTACCGAGTGTTCGGCTACTTTTGTCATCGATTCGAAATTGACATCAGATCGATGTAACAGATTTTTGACCATAGAATTTTCGGGGATGACAGAATTCCGAGCTGACGTTTCTGTTTTCCGGTTCTTCGCTTCTACGGAGCATGTAGGGTGATTCCAAGCTTTTGACATTCGAGGCAATTAAGGATAATACGAACTCAAGCAATGACTACGCAGATGAAAATGATCTCCTAATTGTTTTAACCGGTATATAATAATACAGGCAATTGTCTTTCATATCTATGCCTGTTAATGCTCATCGATTGTTACAGAATAGTAGAACGATGATGAAAATTTCCAAAATTTTTAAACGTCCTTCCTCCAAACAGCTTATCCTGTTTCCGCGATTCCATTTCCCTAAGACATCAAAGTCGTTTCTGAATATCTCGAAACGCGTTTAATTCTGCGATTAATCAGCAAGCAACGCGCTTCGACCTATCCTCGTTCGAGTTCTCTAAGGGGAGCCGATCGATTTCTATCCGGTCAATAAAAATTTGTCGGATTGAATTACACCTCGGGCACGCCTTGGCCCGATCATTTATCCCCCCTTAACAAGATCACTCTCCGAGAGCAAAAGAGAAAGAAAGAAAGCTGTTCGAGCAATAGTACCGACGCGGCAGTAAAAAAAAAAGGCCAGGTCTCTAACAAAAGACCGCTTGTTAACTCGCTTAAACGACGTGTACAGAGTACATCTCGGTGGGGTGTCGGTGCCAAGGCGGAGCAACAACGGTGAGACGAGAAGTAGAAGAAGAAGGAAGAAACTAAGAGAAGAGAAGAAGGGCGCGTTGGCGAATCGAGGGAGATCGCGTGCTTTTTCTCGTTCTCTTTGTCGAGTTCATTAACAAGCGCCACGTTAAGGACGCTGGTGTACAGGGGTCGAGGCCCGTCACGTTAATTTGTTGTGCAAGCCATAATGAGTCGCGGAAGTTGGTCCAGAGAGTGCACTACTACTAAGGGCTGCTGCTGCTGCCGCCACCACCACCACCACCATCACCATCACCGCTGCTGATCGTCGCTGCTGGTTCCTGCTGCTGCAGTTGATCTTAACAACCTCTGCCTCCTGCCCTCTTCGCCTCTGTTGCTCTCTTCCTACCACCGCCGTTTCCTCAGCATGTCCTCCCCCTGTCCCCGCTGTGTTCCTTTCCATCGGTGGCTCGCTTCATCCCCCTTCTCCCTCGGGTGGAATAACTTACTTACGACGCAATTAATTCGCCCGTGTAATTACGGGGCTAATGGCCCGTAAAATTAAGAACCTGTACCTGGCTCTCGAGCGTGTTGCACGCGTTCTACTACCCTTCCCTCTCTCTCTCTCTCTCTCTCTCTCTCTCTCTCTCTCTCTCACATCTATGTTCATCGTCTCTTTGCCCTTCATCTTCTATCTATTTCCGTCTTCTTCATACGCTCTCGTATAATTTCTCTCTCCCGCTCACACTCCAATTCGCTCCCTCGCGCAAAATCCTACGTATATACAACCGTCCGCTCCTCTGTCTCTCTGGAGTGTATTCGACTAGACTCGATTAAGTTTATCGCGATTAACGATAATTAATAACGCGTTACCACGGAAAGTGCAGTGCTGCATGCCGTGAGGGAGAGAGAGAGAGAGAGAGAGAGAGACTGGGGGCAGATATAGTCGAAGCTCGCTCGCGCCACCGCTCGTTCACGAGATTAATGGTACCCGGGGATGTTAATGACGCGGATGTGCAAGGAGGCGGCGACGTCGGGCAGGTGGTAGCTCGCCACGATGCCTTGCCGTAAGAAAGCCAGAGGATGAAAAAAAAGAAGGCGAAGACGAGGGAGAGAAGGATGTAAGAAAAAAAAAAAAAAGAAAAAAAGGGAAATAAAGGAGGGAAGGCGAGGAGAGAGAAAAAAGTAACAACGTCGAAATAACGAAGCAAGACACGGACAAATCTGGCAAATGATGTTAAATTGCTGGCAGTGAAGAGACGCCGCGCTGTACGGACGACGCGATGCTAAATGACCGCCGCTGAGCCTCGGAGTTGACTGTTAAGTAATGACGCTACAAAACGGTCTCTTCGGTAAAATGCTCGTTTACCGCAATTATGACCGCCTCATCGCTGCCCTGCTAACGACCACCGTTGATAGCCGATGAAAGACACTTCGCATCGGGAATTCTAGGAGTTTCCTGTGGTGTCGTAAGACGGCAGAATCGACGCCATATTATTATTTTTCAACCGTTTGAACATTGTTTCCGTGGAATTGACGGGACGAATCGCCGAGTTTTCGCGGTATAATAATAAGTAGCGAACGATCTATTGCAGAGAATTCTGTAAACGAGCGGCATTATCCTTTCAGACTTTGTAAATTTCTTTCTTGTCCTGTCTTATTATCGTCCTTTTAAATTTTTATCAGGTGTATTATAAAAGTTAATTGCGTTGTTCGAGAAAACATTGTAAACGAGTAACGTTGTTTCCTTAGATTTTTGTAATTCCTTTCAAACCCATCTATTTATTGTCCCTTCAAGTCAGATGTTGTAGTTGGATTCTATGGAAAAGTTCATTGATTTGTAACAGAGAACTCTGTAAAAGAGTAATGTTATTGTTTCCAATTTCTGATAATTCCCATCTATTTAGCGTATTTTGAAAAATGGTCAATATTGTATCGTAATTTCGCTGTTGGATATTTTATAAAGGTTTACTTTATAGAAGTTGGTAATTGTTTCCAGAATGAAATTTTGATATAAAACGAGGAAGAATATTGTGCGAATGTAAAACAGTTAAGTTTTGTGTTTTGATGTTTTCTGTGCAATATTAGAAATTTGTCTCTATCATCGAGGAAACATTGTAGACAGGCATTATATAACTTATTGCTAGTCTGTTATTTCCACTGAAAGCATCAAAATGATGAAACGGCAACCTAATGACATTATACATAATGGAGAAACATATTTCTGAAATAACGGACCGCGTCTTACACATGACGCTTCATTTACATTATTATTTCATCGTATTTGCGAAAATAAATCTTGGAAAGCTCATTCGCGCGTAACATTTCTCTCTTATTATACGTTGGCTGCTTTTTAGTTTGGCATTTCAAGTTATCACAGGCCAGCGTAGTTAAGAATTAATCATTGGAAAATCTAATTAACTCTTTGCTTACAAAAGGCGGCTATGCATGCCCTTAATGTGTCATTAACATATTTATGAACTCTATATACAATAATTGTATGTACAGCCAATATATCTTTTAATTACCTGATAATCTCGTATATATTAAAAGGAAAGTGCGGATATTTGTAGCTACATTTATAGGAAATTTAAATGTGTATCGAAGAAATAATAAATAATTCGATTAAAATATACAATCGTATGGAGTTCAAACATGCACGAAATATCCAAAAATATCCATGTTACGATATTTAGAATATGAGATAAATTTCTGGTCAGTTCCAATCTCTCGTTTCTCTAGTTCTTTTCACAAAAATATGAATTTCCATATCCAGTCTATCGATGTACACTGCACTTTTGCAATTATATTAAAAAATGCTTCAAAATACGAAATTTAAATAAGAAATTCAACGCTTCTAACGCGCATCAACGACTGATTTCCAAATATAATTTCATCCAATGCAATATAATTGTGCTCTTTTAGTATACACCGTAGCTAAAAAGTTAATAATCCATTTTCATTTAGAAGTTGACGTATTTATAATTTTGATGCATAACCAATTTATGTTCTCTGTTACAGTATTACGAAATGTCGTACGGCCTAAACGTGGAGATGCACAAACAAGTAAGTTCCTTCTACCCTCTGCACCAAGAATTATCATAAATTTTTTCGTCATCATTTCCGACATATAACCGCGATTTTTTATTTATTTGTTTATTTATTTAAATTTTACAATTTGACCAGTAGGTCATTTGGTAAAATATTATAGCTTGGTGGTATAATAATATAACATATCTTCGAATTTGATTGATTTATTTCTTTAGTGTGGTGAGTGTACCGCGATTTTCGACCGTACCATACAAATTTTTCAAACATGCAACACCTGACTATTTGCTCAGGCGCATTGAACTCCCTTTTCCCTTAGATAATCAAATAAAAACGACGATATTCTTTCGATATAAAGGTCCTGTCTCGTACCAGCTACCTGTAATATATTTTACAATGTGTCGCGAGATTTTAGTAATCAGCTTATCCGTGTAACGAGGCGAGAAAGGTCGAAAATCGCTGACACGATAGTCCCGTCTCGTTGCACGAAATTCAGAAATCGACCGCGAAAACGCGTTTCGCGTGTGTACACGCGCACTTCCTTCCACTTGCATTGCATCGGGCGACGATCTTTCTTGGCTCGAGACCCGCGCCGGTTAACGTCGCGTGTTTGCCGCAGTCATTAAGCGGGATAAGTTTGTCCCGTGTACACGGCCGAATAAACATTTGCAGCGATGACTCGACGACATGGGGCAAGGCTCTGAGAGAATGCAGCCGCCACTTTCGATTCCGTTTGCGAACATCTATTCCGAGAAGACGTTCCGTTCGCACGATAACTTGGTAGCCCGTACGCGTCAACGTTCTCCGTGTTTAAAAAAATCAGCTTCGCTACGGAGAATCCACGGATTCGTAAATATTGCTCCGTTCGAAATATTGTTTCGTACGATTCGAAAATACGAGGACCGAAGAAATTTTGTTTTAAGATTAGGTAAAGAAATTTGAAGATTTGCTTCTTAATATATTTCTTAATTATACTTGATAGGTCTACCTTAGAACGTGCGCGTATTTGACAGGTCAATCACGTAAGATTGATATTAATGAAACATTAATTTGCAACTGTTATTGGAGATAATCGAGTAAAATTGGTTAACGGAATAGTTAAAATTCAGAGTATTTGAATAATTAAACTGTTGCGATAAATATAATCTGCCGGATACAGATCGTTTACCTCTATTTAATTTGCTAGTAAATTTACTTTAAATTTAAGCTAGATTATCTATAACTATTATTAGGAATTTAAATTTATGTATTTCTCACATATCTTTTAAAATGATCGTCAAATATGTACAGAATTCTTTTCCAATACACCGTAGAAAATCGAAGAATCAAAATAGAAGGGAACTAATTTCCGGCTCTGAAAGACCTCGTAATGGTTATTAACTATTAAGTTAAAATTTACACAAAGATAAAGATAAATCAAGTTCGTAAAAGTCGTATCTTCTTGCTGTTTTTCTTTTCTGCTTAGTAATTAACATAAATAGCGCGTTCGTCGAATTTTTTGATCAGGCTACATAGGTGCAGTTAAGTTGGTGTACAGCTCGTTTCCTATACACAGAGGACGTAAACTAAGGGATCGGCTCGTTAAA